GTGCCCCAATACATCAAATCATATACAAAAATAGTGTTTAATTCCATATGTTACATGTCATGTTAGAACCATTTGCTCTGTTATATGAAATTCCAAAGTTATCCCAATGCTTGCAGGAAGTGTACAACATGTACATTTCTCACTTATACAGTCTTGCCCACTGCACGATTGTTTCCATTTATACTTAATCAGAAATAACACAGATAACGAGCCATAATGTCAAACATTTCCAACCAGATTTCCACATCAGGTCTTTAATTACGACACCAGCAGCACGTGATAACTGTAATATAACCTAGGTTGGCTTAAGACCATGCTTAAATTAAAACCTGGCCTGTTATATTGTATCTTTCCCCTGTTTCTGTTCCTATTCACACTCTCATTAAAAACGGGCTTCTATATTTAAATCATTGACCCTACGGTTGGTTTTCACACCGATTTTAATCCCCGTTCCTTCAAAACATATAAATTATAAGCGTTTTCAAAGATGGTATGCAAAGCTTCGTACACTGAACTATTTCAATGTGTTTTCTTAAGATTATGAATGTCTGTACAAAAAGCATAACTAGAAACTTGAAATTGTGTGTTAAGTCCTTCACCTAAAACGTAAAGCTCTAGAACGTATCCGTGATACATATTAGGCCGGCGCGTGATATTGTAAGGTTTCATTTTAATATGACAAACATGTACACAACTTTCTACATATATGATTCAAAACAATAATAAAATTTTGTTTTTCAAAACAAGAGTAAATTATGACGTTTGCTAAGGCCCCCGGGTTCTGTAATGAGAAAAAACGCAGAACAGGCTAAACTTTTTCTGAATATAAAACAGCAAAACAATACCAAAATGTCAACAAAACCATAATTTGAATTCAGAATCAATAACAATACAACTGGGGCAAAATAGAAATAAATGAAATATTTATATGAAGACCCTTGAAAAGTACAAGAGAATAAGACCACGTGTTCCAGAAGGGTAAGCGTCATCTGCTTAATCGACGACACCTGCCAGATAAATCTAGATCAAATCCAAGTAAGGTCACGTCCTCACTTCGAAAACTCGGGTAATGACAACAAAACCACAAGGCCCACTAATGAGTATAATAGAACCTTCGGCCTTCCTGATGGCGACCATAAAACTTGTCAATAGCCTTCACCAATCTCCATCGTCGAAACTGTGTTGTACGTTTGTCCATCAGCAGTCGATATCTACCACGAAAGTCATGCTATATTCGAAGCAAGCTCTAGAACACCAAATCAATTGCGACATGTGAACACCGTAAGTAGGTAACACGGGTGTTACTATCTAAAAAATGAAAGCTTACGACCGCTAAGTCGGAATTGCTCCACATATCGTACAGCTCACTATTAAGCCACCGCTGCTGGACATATTGTTAGTATAGATAAAAGTTGTAGTCTTGATTTCAAGATCCTGAGCGTACATACGACTGACGTGTTCAATAAAACTCTTATTAATGAAAGACAGCACATCGTCGATATAAATGAAAATGAGATTTAAGTACTTAGCTATATTTCTTTTACAATTTTGCTAAGTTCATCAATAAATACAGCCGCATTATGAATAAATAATACATTAAATGTGTTTCATTATAAATAATGTATTGAATTTGATAACCTATATTCGAGTATAATTAATTAATTAATAAAAATGATATAATTTAGTTACATCTTATTGACATTACTTAATTAGTATGATAACATTTATACGTATATATGCTAAATAACAGTAAGATCGTTTTAGCACAACAACATATTGACTGTGTGTAGGAAAACATGAAGAACAGTAATATATTTTAGCATAACGACGTATGACGTATTATGCACTAAAAGAATATTTATATTTACGGCACAACTAAAAGACGGTACCAGGTGTTAGTATATAAACAAGTGTATTATTTATAGGACAGAATGAACACAACACCTCCACCTGTCATCCAAAGGTCAAAGGTCACTTATTACATATGTACCTTCTGAATCCCTCAAATTATTCAACAAAGACCTATAAATAACTGTTTCTAGAATAAATGAGAATGAACAGATTATAATTTAATCAATTAGATCACTACGTATTGTCCTTCTGGATGTTACCTTCTTATTTAACTTTGTACAAAAACAGCGGAAACTTTTTAAAGGGGATATGCTCTTTTCCTTTTTTTCTGTACAAAAAGAGGAGAGCATTTCAGGAACTATTTGCATGCAACTTGCCTATTACAAGGTTTGATATTATTTTCATTTTGTGTGGTGTGAAAACTTCAAAACAGCATCAAGTAAACCATTAATTTTTGATTTGCCGAGTAATGCCAATAAATAATTGTCACATTATAGATATCTAAAATTTCAATTTGCGTTTAAGAATTGTGTTTGTGTGTTTTGAGATGAATTTATCAGGAATTGTTATTTAAAAAAATCGAGGTATTTACGTAAAACTTTAAACACTACTTTATCTTTTCGCATTATTCTATAAATAACTTATTTGAAAGTATATTTGGGATGGACTCAAAACTATGTCCAGTGGATAATAATGCTTAAGAACAACGCTATCGGTTTTCCCTTCCATATCGTAACAAACAGATTCATATAATTCAATTCATAAAAATATATATGACATTTAATAGTAATTTTCCTACTTTCACAGGAGGGAATCGACCACAGAGGAACATTACAGCAAGTTAACCAAAAACACGTTGCGTGATCAATCTAACCAACAAAAGATTGTTACGTGAAGCGAATAACTTCAATTGTCGGAAAGGCATACACCATGGTAAGTGCTTTGTTTTGCATACATATATGTATTTGTATTTAATTTCCTGACAATTGGGTCGATCAAAAAAACATCATTGGTATTTACATAGTAAAAACGTGATAGGAAGATTATGATCGCATTGGTCCAGACAAACAGGCTGGATTACCATTATTCCATGTGTGTGTTCGTCAGAATGGACCACAGAAAGAAGAGTCTGTTGTATTCACAGAAAAGATAACGTTAAGAATGATATGTAAATTAAATTAGAAGTTAATATATAATACTTATTTGTGTATATGTTCATTAGCTACTTGTCGGTAATATCTTATTTACGTATGGAATAAATCTTTGGTAACAAACAAGGACGGTGCTGGGTCAGTGTAGGAGAATCCTGTTTGTGTCGGAATATCTTTTTACTGGAACTCACAGGTTTTGTTTGGTGAAAAACAAAATAAGGTAAGTATCGTGAAAAAATATCAACTATTTCGAGCAAAATAAAAAACATTACCTCAGGTATCTTGTTAAGACAATGTGTGCGTCTATAGCGAAATAATATATACACCAGTTGGTAACCTTAAAAGCCAAATAAAAACAAGGAAAAACTGGATATGAAACTGAATAAAAATATTTATAACTTTATCAATACTGACATAGTACATATTGAAATTTACCTAAATATTGCATGTTTTTTACAGTGTTACATTTTTAAATGAAACATTCATTCAGTACACGATAAAGTCAGGTGGATAGGTTAACGAGTCAGTAAAGAACTACTGAAAGACCTCTTCCAATAAAAACAACTACCTTGACAACAACTACTACCTTGACAACAAATACCTTGACAACAACTACCTTGACAACAACTACCTTGACAACAGCTACCTTGACTAAAGAACAACAATTTTACGGAAATCTGAAGAGGATTTTTTAATCTGATAAGAGGTATTGATTAGTCGCCAGACCCACAGCCAATGTCAAATATACATATTTACTTAAAAAACACAAATTTCTCGAACACCCACAGCAAAGGTCAAAACGTATATGTACCTATCGGGATCTTATGATTACACTTCAGACATAGAACTAATTTAACTAAAGAATACTTTTGCAGAGAGTTGGCTTTCAGCACCACGTATATCCCTGAGGCCAGGGCGCGAAGAGGCCAATGTTTAAATAAATAAGCTTTTCCTCGTTCATAAAGAATGTCATTTACATAGTTTTACATAAATTGGTTGTCACGTGTTTTCAGTAATAAAAAGACAAAGGTATTTACTCGTGGGGAATGTTAATTATCAACCTCAATAACGGAGTCGATTCTGGAATTATCAACCCCAATACTGAGGTCAATACCGGAAGTGTCAACCCTGCTACCGAGGTCATAACCGGAATTGTCAACCCTGTTACCGAGGTTAATACCGGAATTGTCAACCCTGTTACCAAGGTCATTACTGGAATTATCAACCCTCTGTTACTGAGGTAAATACCGATAATTAGCTAACGTTATACCGAGGACAATACTGGAATTATCAACCCCAATACTGAGGTCAATACCGGATTTGTCAACCCCGTTACCGAGGCCATTACCGGAATAATCAACCGTATTACTAAGGTTAATACTTAAATTGTCAACTCTAACACTGAGGTAACATGTAATACTTAACGTATCAACCCCAATACTAAGGACAATACTGAAATTATCAACCTCAATACTGAGGTCAATACAGAGAATTGTCAACCCCATTACTTAGGTTAATACAGGAAGTGTAGGAATTTTCAACCCAATACTGAGGTCAATAATGAAATTATCAACCCAGATATCTTTAAAATATGCGGAATCATGAGGAATGTGAAAGAGATGCGTTTCAATAAAAAATATATATTAATATATCACTCTTACTCAAAAAAAGTGTTAGTTTCTAATGTTAAATTCGTCCAATGTGAACTTATGTTATACAAACAATGTCGCTTACCATTATCCCCTATACAATACGTTGTAAAGAAGGCATGGTCGCAGTAATACTTCCCCACACGTACGCCAATAAGACGCCATTGATGCTATCCCTTATGTTAGGTAAATTTTGTCATCTTTCCATCCATTCTGCCTAGCTGCAGTCCGGAATCGGCGGGGAATGTTTCCCTTCGTAAATTGATAGCTAGAATGATTCTGTTTTTCTGCGACAACCTCTTGGTCGTTATTACGTGACCAAATTACCTGATCTGATTTGTCTTCACGATCAGACACAGCGGCGTACCTGCGGTGTGGATGTCGGGAATCCGTTTTCAAGATTATAACGCGGAACAAAATGGCATACTCTTATATATAAAATCGAGATTCGGTGATGGCTTTGGAGGTGGTGTTGGTGATGGTGATAATGGTAATAATATTGTTGATGATGGTGTTGGTGGTGGTGGTGGACGCAGTGGTGGCGGTTGCTGGTGATGATAGTGTTGATGGTGGAAGGGATAGTTGCGTTGGTGGTGGTGGTGATGATATTTGTGGTAGTGTTGGTGGTGATAATGTTGATGGAGGAAGGGATAGTTGCGTTGGTGATGGTGCTGGTGGTGGTATTGGTAGTGGTGTTGGTGGTGGTGGTGATATTTGTGGTGGTGTTGGTGATTGTGTTGGCATTGGTGGTGTTGGTGGTGATAATGTTAGTGATAGTGTTGGTGGTTATCTTGGTGCTAGTGGTGGTAATGGAATAAATGGTGTTGGTGGTGTTAGTGATTGTGTTGGTGGTGTTAGTGATTGTGTTGGTGGTGTTAGTGATTGTGTTGGTGGTGTTAGTGATTGTGTTGGTGGTGTTAGTGATTGTGTTGGTGGTGTTAGTGATTGTGTTGGTGGTGTTAGTGATTGTGTTGGTGGTGTTAGTGATTGTGTTGGTGGTGTTAGTGATTGTGTTGGTGGTGTTAGTGATTGTGTTGGTGGTGTTAGTGATTGTGTTGGTGGTGTTAGTGATTGTGTTGGTGGTGTTAGTGATTGTGTTGGTGGTGTTAGTGATTGTGTTGGTGGTGTTAGTGATTGTGTTGGTGGTGTTAGTGATTGTGTTGGTGGTGTTAGTGATTGTGTTGGTGGTGTTAGTGATTGTGTTGGTGGTGTTAGTGATTGTGTTGGTGGTGTTAGTGATTGTGTTGGTGGTGTTAGTGATTGTGTTGGTGGTGTTAGTGATTGTGTTGGTGGTGTTAGTGATTGTGTTGGTGGTGTTAGTGATTGTGTTGGTGGTGTTAGCTACTGTGTTGGTTATGCTGATTGCGGTAGTGGTTAAAATAATGGAAATTGAAGAGTAGTTTGTCAGTTTCGTCGAGTAGTAATAAAGCTAAAAGAAAAAGAAGGTATCTCATGTCTTCGTACTGATTATTAAGTGACCAGTAATTCAACTGACCGCGTACGAAAATCCACGGCATCTGCTAACGAACGCTTCCTTGAGATGATAGCTACCTTCCGGTCCCATGTGGTGGAGCGTTAATCGCCTCTGTTGATTGGCGGTCCATCCCTTGACCAATATTTACTACCGGACGGCTACAGCGTCAGTTCGATATAAAGGTGATTAAGTTCATGCACTGAACAGAATATAATACATTCATTGTTTCCCCAATATATATAAATATTCTAGGAAAACAAAATTTTATTAATCTAGGTGATGCTAAGAATCATGTAACCCTACTGGAAGGGCAAGGAACTTTTAATTATAACGAAATAGAAAAATACCACAACAGTAAGGTCAACAGCCGTTCGAGTCGTTGTTTTTGGTTCTCCATTTCAATAATTCGCAACTCATCCGCGTTTTTCATCAAGACACATAGAAATGTCAATAGAACATTTGGTTTTACCATTTACTAAAAAGTACAATTTACAATTTCGTTTCACCTGGTACAATTTATCACCTTTGAAAATCGTCAATATCTATAATGCTATTTACCCACACTACCTTGAGGTACGTTTTTCTACATCATGGTACGACTCATATGAATGTGTTCCATTTATATCAAGTGAAGTTACGAATCCAACATGATGAAACCTTAATACATATCTGTGGGCCTGCACTAAGCTACATAAGTGATATACCCCTTTCACTGTATCCAGTAGGTACTCATCAAACCTTAATACATATCTGTGGGTCTGCACTAAGCTACATAAGTGACATACCTCTTTCACTGTATCCAGTAGGTACTCATCAAACATAAAGACATATCTGTGGGCCTGCACTAAGCTACAGAAGTGATATATCCTTTTCACTGTATCCAGTAGGTACGCACCTATGTCGCCATCTCGACATTCCAATGTTACTCCCCAACAGTAATGAACATGTCAAACACAGGTGTTTTGTTCTCATAGGAACACTTACACCTACTCTAGCGTCGGAACGTCCACTGACGTAGTGCGCAAGTATACGTGCAGTCCATGACAGTACCAAGTACAGACTAAAGCATTAATTCATAAATATAATTGATGATGGTCAAGCGGCCAAACATGTTAGACCCCAAGATAGAAATCTTTCCACAGCTGCCAAATTTATTAGAAAGGTCTGTTAGCTTTGCTTAGACTTACAATTAATTCAAACAAAACAATTTTTCTAAGAAATATTTATTCGTGATCAACATTTTGTTGATCTATTCGCTTGTTAAATTTTGTACTGAGAAACTATTAAGGTATTTTATAATAAGGAAGTAGTTAATTTTAACTATGATTTATTCTATTTATCAAGCTATCAATATAATATCAAGTCGGTCGGTCAGTTGTAGATAAATAAAATAACTCTCGCCTACCTCTAGAGTCTAGATCAGCTGCTCATTCAAACCTTCCCAACCACTCGTGTTTATATTTTTCTCGACGAAGATTACTTAGATATAAGTATAAGTTATGGTTATGCTTGGTTAGCTTTACGACTTTTCTCCCACAGCGATACATAGAGCAACCGTCGAAATATGCACTGATAAAGTATTGTCAGCTTCCGGTTGTGCTGCATACATCAATATTGACACTGCGTTGTTAACATAACCTGCACGTGCTGTGGCTCGCTTCAAGTGCCGAGACTAAACAGGTAATAAGGTACGTTACGGCGTCCTAGCAGCTTGATTTGCTTTCCTAGTTTTTATAATTGCTATCTCGTTTTTTCAAAGTTACAGAGTAATTCTAGGAAAGCTCACAAAAAGTTAAATTACCGACCCCCGTACCACTGCCGCAAACAGTAACTATCTCTGGAAACGTTTTACCGGTATGAGGCATAAATAAAGCTTTGATAAATCCTTTCTGGATAGAAATGCATACCATGCTGGACTGTAATAAAAAGGGATAAGGATGAAAGATACAAAAAAGAAGAAAGCAATGTCTACTTTTTGAGACAATGATTTTAAGTCTAACCTTCGACCATTAAATTTTACTCGAATGTCTACGGCAGATGTTTACTCTTATCTATTTTTATTTTATTCAGTGTAAATCAAGGTAAAGTTTACAACCAGTTTTGGTTATTGTTGAGTTCGATTTTTAAAACACATACGCTTCCTTCTCCTGTTCATGAATTCTGCAGTACATAAAATTGAGTTTTCTTTACTATTGCTTTCCCTTTTACTCACTCACAGATTTTGAATCTAACCCAGGTCCAAACGAGTTGTGTTATGTTCATTTAAATGTCCAAAGTGTTCGAAATAAAATTCCGTATGTTGAATATGTTGCTCACGAATAAGATATTTTCGGCTTATCCGAAACTCATTTGGACGAGCATTTTCCTTCTGATGATCTATGTATAGAAGGTTTCCAAACACCTTTCAGCTTAGATAGAAATTTTGCGGGCAGGTGATTCTTGTGTATGTTATTTGATCTAGAATATCCCGGTGATGAAGTACACTATGGGTCAGTGTCAAGCTACCTCAGTCCAGTATTTCGATTTGTACCATTTATAGACCGGAAAATGCCGCAAGTCCTTTCTGGGATAACCTACGTGAATTTATAGATAGAGCTTTAGATATTTCTCCAAACCTATTAATAAATGGCGACTTAAATGTAGATATGTTCAGAATTACCCCAACGCATATTTTGTCTGACATCATTTCGACATACACTTTTACAGATGTTATTTCAGAACCAACTAGATTTGGCCCAAGAAAACAAAGCCTTCTTGATCCGACCCTTCTATCTGTCTCGTTAAATAGCATTGATGCATCTGTAGTAAATATAGACAGAAATATAAAAGATCATGACGGTAGTCTTGTTTATATTGAAATACCTTTTATTACGAAACCTGTTTTTAAGAGACACGTTTGGCTTTACAAACACGCCGATTTTGATCAATCTAACCATCCTACCTTAAATCATGATCGGGAGGGTGATCTTTAAATGTGTGATTCAATTGATGCAGCATGTGAAAGTTTTACAAAAACATTTTAGATTTTGAAAATACATGTATTCCTTCTAAAAAAGTAACTGGTAGACCAAACGATAAGCCTTGGATGACGTCGGAATTACGTAGAAACATTAGAATAAGAGTCCGTTAACATAAAAAAGCTAGATGCACAAACATTTTTGAAGATATTAAAATGTCCAAGACACAGAGAAATAAAGTTAATAATATGAAAAAGCATGCTCGTTTAAGTTCAAAAAGGCATACAATTATGATATTGTTAAATATTAGGATGACAAATCGTGTCCTCTCGTAGGAGGGTTTCCATACGCCACACTCTCTTTCATGGCGTTATACCTCTCACTCTCTTTCATAAACTATCGATTTATAACTTTTTTATATTATTCATAAGTATTTGTTTCTGATGTTATATCAGGCGTGCTTATATATTGTTTTTATCCCCTCCTCGCTCACCATCACTTCATCACTCCAGCTCGTTTAAGATTTTACGAGAGTGTTCATGGAATTATTGAATACTCTTCGACTGATGCAAGGTCCTACTGGAGACTTGTGAAACGACTTTGAAACAGTTTGGCACTTAGGACTTTTTGCAAAATTGAAATCTTATGGAATTACTGGAAACCTTTTGGGATGGTTTAAAGATTATCTGTGTTATAGAAAACAGAAAGTTTTCATTGCTGACTCACTTTTGTCCATTGGTTTTATCAAAGTAGGATTACCGAAGGGTTCCATTCTTGGCCCTTTAGTTTTGTATACCACTTTCATTTTATCGGTGTTTGAGTACGCCTGTAAATTGTGGGATGGATGTACTCTTAACGAATCGGAATTATTTGAAAAGCCTTAAAGAGAAGCATTACGTATCATTAGTGGTCTTCCGTCATATGTAAACAACACTACTTTATACATTGAAACAGGGTTGGAAAAGTGTTCAGACCGAAGAAAAAGTGAAAACTGCAGTTGTTATTTAAGATGAAAAACAGTACTACTCTATGTTTTCTTAACGATCTCTTACCACCTACGATTGCTTTTAACAATCCGTATCCACTTAGAAACAGACTTTCTTGTACACGCTCTTCGTTTTTACCATCATCATTACTTTCTTGTAACGGGTTAGACGTGGAAACAAGATCTTCTCCTTCGTTTTTTACTTTTAAATCTGCTATTTCACATCCAGTTAATCCAAAAGCACCATCCTTCTACAGTTTTTGAAAAAGAAAACTTAATATATTGCATACAAAGTGAAGGTATAAATGCAGTCCGTTAAATTATGACCTTTTTAGAGTAAATCTGACTGTGAACTCTGAATGTATTTGTGGAAACCCCTGTGAGAATGCCTACCACTTCTTTTTCATATGTCCTCGTTATAATATACAAAGACGTACTCTTCTTTCAAATATAGATGATTTAAATCTGGATGTTGTCATTGATATAAATGTACTGATCCTAGGAAATGAAAATCTGTCGGTAGAGGTAAACACTTCAATTTTTAGAAATGTGCAAAAGTACATAAAATCCAGCCAAAGGTTTAGTTAATGTGATATGACATTAACTCATCATATGTATATATATATATATCTGTTGTATTAATTCATTTATTGTATGATAAAAAGGTATTTATTGTGATCAAATTCTGCTATTTCTCAATTTATGTAAATGTTATTGCGAAGAGGGCCTTTGTAATGTTGCTATAACGTGTGCCTAATCCGTTTCATTTATGCAATAGAATATGTTTAAATCCTACATTGTCGCTTGAACCAATTGGCTGACTCTGTCAATGAAGTAATATTCAAAACGTAATTCAGGGGAGGTAACTGTCAGGACGAACTACATTTTGTCGTATCTATACACGTTCTAACAAGGCATTTTATAAGACGACCAAGAAAGATGCCAAATGTTAATTATCATTTGGATTTTAAACAACTGAAGTTGATTCTGAAACTTTGTTATTCATTAAATAAGTAAAAGTGTACGACAAGCCTGGTCTTTATTACTTTAAATACATTTACATAAATACCTAATTGTCTTTTCAGAAACCACATGACACAATATATCTGATACAATTTAAGAGATTGTCTACGTAAAGTATAAAAAGGCGCGGCATCATAACTAAGATAGGCCAAGCCCAAAGTAAAAGTTCACACGAAGAGACAACAACAAGAGACGAGGAGACACCAAAACAACTAGAGACGAGGAGACACCAAAACAACTAGAGACGAGGAGACACCAAAACAACTAGAGACGAGGAGACACCAAAACAACTAGAGACGAGGAGACACCAAAACAACTAGAGACGAGGAGACACCAAAACAACTAGAGACGAGGAGACACCAAAACAACTAGAGACGAGGAGACACCAAAACAACTAGAGACGAGGAGACACCAAAACAACTAGAGACGAGGAGACACCAAAACAACTAGAGACGAGGAGACACCAAAACAACTAGAGACGAGGAGACACCAAAACAACTAGAGACGAGGAGACACCAAAACAACTAGAGACGAGGAGACACCAAAACAACTAGAGACGAGGAGACACCAAAACAACTAGAGACGAGGAGACACCAAAACAACTAGAGACGAGGAGACACCAAAACAACTAGAGACGAGGAGACACCAAAACAACTAGAGACGAGGAGACACCAAAACAACTAGAGACGAGGAGACACCAAAACAACTAGAGACGAGGAGACACCAAAACAACTAGAGACGAGGAGACACCAAAACAACTAGAGACGAGGAGACACCAAAACAACTAGAGACGAGGAGACACCAAAACAACTAGAGACGAGGAGACACCAAAACAACTAGAGACGAGGAGACACCA